AAGCAATTAAAACTATAAAATCATTATTTTTTGTGTGAGAACTAAGAATTTAAGACCTAACATGGACTTGTTTGGGCTTGCCTCGAGGGGCGTGGCACGGGGTCCAAGGGCAGAGCCCCCGGCCCAACCGCTAGGCACAAAAAAGCAAAAAAGCGTCAAAGTTTCAAAAGGTGCATGCATGGGCCGAGGCGCAAGGTGCACCAGGCGTGTGCCTTTTGAAAGGGCTGCACCTAGGACCTAGGCGAGGTCCCTACCTTGAAATGCACCTCGCCTGTGCATCTGAGGCGTGCCTTTTAAATCACTGATTGGGACAAGGTTCCATTGAGTTGTTCTGAGTATCCACATGCTATAAGTCTTTTTGAGATGATCACCTATAAGCTATCAAAGTCAACAACAAAGAAAAGGCCATAAATAGTAGCATATAGTTCATCAGTATATCAATATTTAATCGGATCAGACACTTGAAACTCAGAAATGCAAGTAGACAATTACATTGATCAGGCTTATTTGGTCAACCATATGATATTTGCTCCAGATGTCTATCGATATGTTAAATCATGGGTTAAACTTCTATGCTGAAGCACTGACATTCCCCCTCATCCATTGACCAAAAGTTGTCACATGCCATCTTGGTACTTCAACCTTAATTTTACCCAATTTAACTATGTCAATATGGGCATGGATTATGAGAAAGATAGCCAAGTCATACTTCATAAAGGACAAGTCCCAAGGCCCCATTATGGTAGAGGTTAGTGCCCTTTTAGAAATATGCACAGCCACATGAAGATACCTAACGGAGAAAAAGGCAAGTAAGTTGTGGCACATCAAAATAGGAAGGAAAGATGCACGCTAGACCAGGTGTTGTAAAAAACCCTGGACCCAATTCTCTCAACTTGCTGTAGTTTGCCCTCTTAAAATGAAACATCGAGGCATATATACAAAAAGGTCTAAAAAGAATGTTAAAGAAAGTAAAACCAAAAAAGCTACAATACTGCTGTGTTTTACCAGAATTTCTTTATCACTGCACAAGACCAGCAAAATGTTAAAACAGACATCTAGATGAAAGGACAAACAATGTGTATTAACTACTGTTCACAAGCTCCAGGTGAATCCTTCTTGAAAATGACGAGGAATTTTATAAAAAGTATTAACCTCCTGCAAGATAAACAGTTTAATAAAGAAGAAGAGTTTCTTATCAGTTTTTGCAAGGAATTACAGCCAACCATGACTTTAGGGTATATACTTATTGTTTAGATCCTAAGGAAGCAAAGGAAATGGAAAGGTCATTCCTCAGAAACTAGTTCTACTGCATTGCCAAAGCAAGACACAATGACAATTTCATAGCATTTGATTATCACCCAATCTATGTCAAGTTATCTAGGCCACAGTCCATACTTCTCCGCTGTTAACTTAACTGCAAATGCCATCCCCAAAGATACCCAGCTATACAATGGAGTAACTTCTTCAGTATAAACAGGACTAAGAAAACATTAAAACATGTATTTTGTCACTAGTGTTGCATGGACACATACACAGGAATCAGAACCTGACATGTGTGCAAGAGTCTGACTTGGCAAAACCAAAAGAAAAACAGAAAAAGGCTCACACATTTACATCTATAGAAAAAGCATAAACTATTAAAATATCCCATACTTGCATGGACATGTACACAGGAATCAGAATCTGACTTGGCAAAACACAAAAGCAACACCTCACACTTATGAATCAATAGACAGCATAAACTATTAATTTTTTTGGAATTCTAATATTTTATACCTATGGGAAAAGGTCCACAAGTCTATCTTTGTGATTTAATACCATTTTATGGGAAAGTAGCATCCATTATGTGCATTATCTGTTCTTTTATGTCAAACAAGCAAAGAGAAAAAGGAAAATGTTATGTATGTCACTCAGGAATCCTTTAAGTGTCAGAATCCAACACATGTCTGACATGGACACTTAATCCATTTAGATAGCCCATGCAAAACTGGTCAACACATCATTCCACAATGATTGAGGTATGAGTACCTTGTACACATTCAGAAAGATGGGTTTCAAAGAACAATTAGACATGACCACAGAAGGCATATGTTGAAACCAATACAAATTGTTGTAACATAAAAACAATACAACATTGTTTCAAAAGTGAGGCTCACTTTGTTGGATGCACCTACCTAAACCTAAGTGCATCTCACCTAACCTTTTGCTACTTTTTAATGAATTAACCCTGAATATGATGTTTGAATAGTTTATCTATATAGGACTTGAACCTACAACAATAAGCAGTGTTGGCATCTTGGACACAGACATGGAAATCAGAATTCCATGTATGTCAGGGGCTCCAGGAGTCCAACTCAGCAAGAAGATTAAACAAGGACTCATAAAATCATCTACAAAATAGAATAAACTATTAAAATACACCATTTTTTTAATTGTAATAGTACATCTATATAAAGAAGGTCTTAAAGTTTATCTTTGTCACTTAACAATATTGTTAAGAAACACAACATTTATTGTGCACATTAGATGTTCATTTATGTCCAATAATCAAGGAAAGGAAGGACAATGTTATGTTGAAGTGTCCCTAATCCATGCAGTGTCAAAATCGGATGCATGTCTAAAAAGTATTCTTCATTCATTTAGGATAGTCCATCTAACACAGCCTACAAGGCTATAACCTTCATGTTAGTAACATGATATTTTAAACAATTGAAATAACAAGGTCTTATTTTCTTTTACAATTTTGATTTGCATATTTCTATGCATTAAGTTTTTCTTTTATTTTTTTATCGGTGGCACATCATTCTGTTCAGGCATGGACCTCAGCCGCCTCACACTTCAAGCTCTAGGACCCACTAGTTTTTTAATTGGACTTCTCACGTTTTGAACACTGAAATCCTATAACCTTAGTCATCAGCAGCAATTGAGAGGGTAAGAATCCCCCAATCACCAATTCAACAGGCTGGCAAAGCTGCATCATTCTGTTCTGGCATGGACCTCAGCTGCCTCACACTTCAAGCTCTAGGACCCACTAGTTCTTTAATTGGACTTCTCACGTTTTGAACACTGAAATCCTATAACCTTAGTCATCAACAGCAATTGAGAGGGTAGGAATCCCCCAATCACCAATTCAACAAGGCTGGCAAAGCTGCATCATCCTATCACATTAGTCCCAAGCAGAAATTCAAAGTCTCCGACTCCACAATAATTGATTTAACCAGGCCAGGCCGGCTGTTGAAAAAGGAGGTACCCGGTACTAGGAATGTGTCCCACAGTCCATGTGGGTATATAAGTTCTGCAGAGGTGTTTAACAGGTTATATGAAGTTTCAAAAGGCACTAAGCAATGAACTTCGAAGTGAACCTAAGGAAGAGCTTCCTGTTGGCTTCTTAGAAGCCCGTATTGTGAATCATGAGATCAATACTCACGATGAAGTCAATCTGATGGATAAACTTCAAAAATTAAAAACGAAGAGAAAATAGCACCTATATCATTTGCCATCTTTTTTGATGGATGAACTCTAAAAGCGTAACTCTCAAACAGTGACCAAAAAGAAAGAAAAAAGAAAGCGAACAAAAAAAAGCAGGAATCAGAACCATTGATGTCAGACATCTAGAGAACAAATTCGATCAGAACTTAAAATACGGTAGACGGAGGTAGACAGCATACGATATATCCATCAATTTAAGGCAAGCAACACAAGATCGAATAAAACAACTAAACGAAAAGATTCAAGGGGGCTATCATTTCCAAGACAACAAAGATTAGCAGAGACGACTACGATCCAAGAAAGAAGATCAAAAGAAAAGGGAAGATAAAAATGAAGAGAAAAGAAAAGAAAAGATTATACCTTTAGGAAGATAAACGTTTCGTTTCCAGTAGTAGATGTAGAAACTCCATAAAAATCCAGAAATGAAATAAACGGCGGTCCCTCCAATGTAGTTCCGAATCCATGTCTGGATAAAGTGAGGGAGCGCTTTCCAAAGATTCTCTGGCAAAAGATTTCCGAGCACAATGCGGTTGTAAAAGCTGGTTTCGTCCACGAAAAGCTGCAAATAGTCTTCCATTTTATTTTTCAGGAAAAGCGAGCAGATTCAGGCAATTAGGGCCGGGAAAATCGCCGGGATTACGACGGGAGAAAGTTTAGTATAGAGAGAGAGAACTGTGAACTGGAATGAGGGGGAAGTGAGGAGTGGAGAGAGTCTAAGGTGAGAATAATATTTATCAAGTGACATTTAACTACTTGATCCGGTCCCGCACTATTTATAGACAGGTCGAATCGATAAAGACTGTGCGAATCGGTAACTGTCCTGGCGTTTTTTGTTCGTTCTCATATTTTGAAAGACCAAATTAGCTCCGCTGTTGCCATAATTTATGATGAGAAAGACTTTCTTGTCTTTGTCGTTGTCTCAGTGTTGGCATCTTGTAGATTTGAAGATGTATGTCTCCAACCGTTGATCCAATGTTAGCCCGATGGTTGTTGGGGCCCACACTTTGTCCACGGACACTAGCTTGTTAATTTTTTATCGGTTACGTAGCGTACTGTATACATTTGTTCGCAGCAGATCGGAAACGGTTATTAGTGTTTATTCGTTTGGATCCAATGTAAAACGTCATCCATGTATTAAGTAATTATTAGATTTTGAAAATCGTGAAAAAAAATATAAAGTTTTATATTGATAAAATGGATACAGTATTTACATGATAATGCATGTAAATTTAAGCTTGATGAGAAATTTCCCTTCCATCCAAATGCCAATAAATTAAATTTGAGTTGAATTTTATATCAATCTACATTTGTACTTTTTACGCTAATAAAATCGAATTAATGTAAATTTTTACATAGTTCTTCATTTACATCGATTCTAAATGCAACTTAAAGTGAAAATCAATTTTGATAGAATTTGATTTATACATATCCGGTTCATTCAGTTTGACCCGGGTGTTCATCGTTCAAAAAAAATCAATAGCAGTTTAGCTATTAAAATTTAAACAAAAACCCTAAACCCCTAATTGATTTTTCATCGAGTTTTACTAGTCCCCCCTAACGCAGCAACTGACGACTCCACATGGTTCTAAGTTTTGACAAAACTTTTAGTGAAACATTAAACTGAATATTTTGTCCAAATTTGGACTGAAATTTTGGAATATTTTTTAGTTTGCGTTATATTATATATTTTGAAATGGGAAAACCTATTATACAGAAAAGATATGGTATTGAAAGAATTTTGATCAATCAAAATTCATCCATCAATTTTGATAAATAACACCTAATCGACTACCATTTTGAAAGAATACAAATTTTAGTAGATAAACTTTGATTTATAATGTATTTTAATGGCCACTTAATATTCAATACTTTGGCAAGATCACATTTCTTTTAATAGCCATCTCTAAAAGAAGAGAAAAAAGGTAACCCCATCAAAGAAATGTAGTAATCCAGATGAGTTAGGCGAAGAGGGTCTACCTTCTACCCTCTCATTTGTCTGCCTCTACTTACAAATATAAAGAAGAGAAACCCGATATCTAATTTTCTTTTTCTTGTATGCAGAAACCTAGGCTGCATTTGGTATAAAGACTTATCTCCTTTTTTTATTAAAATGCCTTTATGAACAGTGAAATTTTAATTATAAAAAAAGAAATAAATCCTTAAAATAAGAAATGCTAAATGCAGCATTAATCACATTGACATAGACATAGATCTCTTCATAAAGGCTCGATTCTATCCCAGGGAAGGGTCCTGCTTTCTAATTAGAACAGCTGACTGAGCACCTAGTGTAACAGATGAGCAATAATGGACAAATGTAGATGACCTACTTTCTAATTAGAACGGCTGATTTCAGTCAATGTTGTCGGACTTCGACCATCTCGTTTGGTCATTCAACTCTATTAAACCAAAATTGTAAGATAATAAAACAATAGTAAATTATTCTAGATTACCTTTTAAAGCTATTATACATGAAAAATAAGGTTTAAGAAAATGAATGCTATATATTTGAGATAAATAACTTTCACCATCCGGTTCAGACGGCCCAAAGGCCAACCATCCGGTCTAATCCAAGACTGACAACAGCGGTTTTGGGTATAAGAAACTTTGGACTAAAGCCCACAGTTTTTGATAAAAATACAAGTCCAAGTTACATATTCATTTTTCTTCTCTTAGTCAAATGAACCCGTGATGCTAAATTGCAGTAGAAAGAATCTTAAGCCCATGAAGGGACCACTCACATGGCAACGCAGGCTTCTTGGTTGGACTCAGATACACTTGGCAGTTAGGCATCACTTTACTAATATGGTAAAGGTTATCTGAGATTTGGGGAAAGCAGATGCCATTAGACTTATCACCTGACTCCGGATCTCTTGTCCACGAGAATCCTACCCATGCATATCCATAATACACCACCCTTCGTTGAATTGAAAACATCTCCCCCTGCATAATGCTATGAAGAGGGTGAGATGTTCTTCATGTATGACTATGATAAATATAAACAGAATCTTCGTGGGCAGAAGATCCGGACTCTCATCACCCTGTAGAATGGAGTGTAAATCCTCAACGAACTTTTGGGCTTCTGGAGTTGAAGAAAATATCTTAAGCCATAGCCCATCAAAAATTCACATCTGCACCCCAAAATCATAAAGCGTATCCCACAGGCGCCCCACAGCGGCGCACAGTCCAATCGTGTATTGGAAACATATCCTAATGACAATTTCGAGAAAATTTTCCAATACATAATGAGATATACATGTGGGTTACTTGCGAGGTGCGCTCAGTGGGGCACCAATGTGAACTCGTTCATCAAACCTATAATCTGTTCCACTGAAAGGTTTAAGAGATTCCTATACAAACAATGGTTCCAATCCAACTAGTGCTCGGATTGACATTACTGGATTTGTATATACAAATTTAGTTATATAAAATCAACATAGATTTACTTAGTGATGTCAGTTTAGATATTTAATTTGAACCAAGAAGCTGTAGGGTAGTTAAGTCTCATGTGAAGTCATTTTCAGTTGATTTTTTAAGAGTTTATGATATATAAATCTGATTTCAAGTAGACTTTATTTATATCCGAACGTCTAAAATATACAATGGAACTGAATTTGTATTTGTTTGTATTCTTTCCAAACTGAGCCAAAAGTATTAATGGGTCCCTGCTATACATGGAATTGTTTTATGAAGGACAAAATTGAAAAGAAGGAAGAATTAATTAAAAAAAAAAAGGAGGAAGAAAAAATTAATCAATTGAAAAGAAAAAAGGTCCTCATCATAACAGCAATAAGGTGCCCATCTAAGCTGCAAATTGTGGAGGCAATGAAGGTTATGACCCCACATCAGATGGGTCTAACACTAAACAAAATTTTTCTGGGAAAATCAGCAAAGCCCAAGTGATCCAAGTTACATATAAGAGCTTGCAGTTGATAAGCTAGCATCAGAAATTCCAAAATACAGCAAATAAAAAATGCTGAAAATTATCTCATTTTCCAAAACTCCTATGTACTAGCTAATGATCCTATACTCATTATGGAACCCATTATCTATGTGATAAACCTTGACTCATGAAGCATTTAGGGTGGGTTTTTTATTTGATTTATAACATTTAATTTATAATTAAACAACACAGTATCAAGATTGTAACTTTCACTGATGTAATCTCCTGAAAGCCTTTTTCTTTGAGTAGGAGATATAGTTATGTGTTTGAGGAAGTGCTTTGACTAGTCAAACCTCCTAGCCCTTCTACATGCTCATTCAATCTAAGGCCCTATCTGTTTTTAAGGAAATAGGAGAAGAAAAATTGGTCAAAGGGAAAGTGGTTCCTCTTTACCAATTCATTAATATTTTCTCCTGGATATCACTTATCCGAATAGGTGATACTGATTTTCTAGACAAGTAATTTTTTCATCTAGGGAAAAATTTACAAAACCTAATAGAACAATATTGCCCATTCTAATAATGACTTTTTATGGATGAAAAGGTTATTGTATAATTTAATGGGAATAAAAAAAATATGTTAAATGAATTTACCTAGGTAATGTATTCTTAAAAAACAAACACCGGGCCTAAGTCTCATGCTTCTCAAAAAAATGCCAACTCCACCATTCAAACTCATATAATCTTAATGAATAACCACTCTAAGGCTATGTTTGGTTTGAAAGAAAAGGTAGAGAAAGGAAGGGAAAGGTAACTAGGGAGACCTATACAAGGTTTGCAAAGGTTTTCCTATCCTTCCCTTCCTTTCTCTACCTTTTCCTTCAAACTAAACATAGCCTATGCGTTGGCAAATATAGAAATGAGCATCTATTTTATGTTAAAACAATACTCGATTTAGAGAGAATTCCATAGACTCAAAGCCGGGTAAGTAGAACTATATACATACCCGGTAAAAAGTGATCACATAACGACCAATTGGAAGTTTGGCTACTGGAACCAAATCTTGTTTGAATGTGTCCTAATTAGGTTCTAGGAGTGAGAGAGATATACAGATTTGTTAGTTGTTGCAAAGCTTTTCCTATTGGGCTATCAAAAATTTAGGAGACAGTATGGGTTTGGTAGTTATAAAAGTTTACGAAAGCTTATTCATTGAGACATTAAGAAAGATTTTAGCGGGTAGTGACATGAAAAGTGTATTCTGATGAAGATTGCAACTTGGACTGGATTGGGTTGAGAATGGTAAGGGCCAGAACTCTAATCCTCCCAGTACTGGTTATAATTCTTTAAGTCAGGTTACAGCCCGAAATTCTTAATTGGAATGTTGTTACTAATCATCCTCAATCATACTGATTGCCTAAGAAAAGCTCTTCAATTAGGGAGTTTGGATTCAGTCCTCACAGAACTGTTTTCACAGTCTTCACAATTTTTTTATATCTCTGCATTCGAAACATCTCCATAGTTGTATATTTATTTTCATGGGAAGATATTTCCAATGCACAGTTGCAAGGGACTGTGTGAATGGTGTGAGAACAGTGCTTGTGAGGACCAAATCCGATTTCTCAAGTAGGAAATTTCAGGCCATATTTTATAATTTTTATTTTATTTAAAACACTCAACTTGAGGAGACTTTTCAACTCTGACAGGAGAGAATGAATTGATATGGACAATTTTGTCTCATTCATATAGATATCTGACCCATATTCAACATGTTTGTAGACCCCAGGCTGCTCTCTCTCTTGTTTACCAAAAATAATAATAAAAAAAAAAGCATTTCTCTGGTCATGAAGAACAATGGATCATTTGAGAAATAGCTGATTGGATGATTTATTATCTTTTA